CTGCACATTAGGGTCACCTGGAGAGATGCAAAAAGCCCAGTGCCCTGGACACACCCTGGACTCGACGCATCAGAGCCTCTGGGGGTGGGATGGAGCTTCAGTAGTTTCTAGGGTCCCCTCCCCCCACCCAGGGTGATGGCGATGTGCAGTCAAAGGTGAGAGACCCTGGTCCTTTTTTGCCTGTAGGATCTTAACTTCCCGGACCAGGAATTGAACCCGCACCCTCAGCAGTGGACATGCGCAGCCCTAACCACCTGCTCTTCTCCAGGGAATGCCTCAAGAACCTGTGTTCTGATGGGAACCATGGTTTAGTGAAGGAAGAGGTGGTGTTTGGAAAAAGCCAATTCCCTTCAGAGGCTCCATGCAGCTGTGGGGCTGAGCATGCAGCTGAGCCAACACGTAGGGTTGGGGTGATGGTTAGAGGACACCGGACATGGAGGATGGAGCCCTGGGACTTGGGCAGGGAGCCCAGGAGGAGGCTACTGTCCCTGATCTCTGGGGAGGCTGCCGTGACGGGGTCCACCACGCGCTTGGCAGTTGGCTCCCGAAGCTGGTTGGTTTTGGTAGCAGCCTGGGATGGCAGGCGGCAGTTGTCGTACGAGAAAGGTACGCTTTCCTGTCCATCAGGCGATAGTGGGCATCTGCCTTCCTTGGGTCTCCTTGGCATTTGCAAAAGAAGGATGGGAGGCAGGTTCTTTACTGCTTTGAGACCTCAAGCCTGAGTTTAGATTCTTCCTTGAGGCACTGTCCTCCCTGGATCACATATTGCATCTGAAAGAAAAAGAAATCTCAGGAGTGGTGACCCTTCTGGAAGTCATCTCAGGCACCCGCTGCCATCAGACAGGGTGATGTTTCGCCCAGGGCACGCAGATTGTGGGAGCACAGTTTGTTCTCAAAGACATTTGCCAAGAAAGACTTTAAACACTTTTTGGGGGGATGGGAGGGGTGATCTAATTGAGTGTTTAGCTCTTTTCTTAGAAACTTATCTAAACGTCTTCGGCTAAAATTTAAATAAAAGAGAGAGTAGCTGACATCATTTTTCACAGGCATCTTAGTACAGATCACATAAAAACGCATGTATCAAGTGTTGGCTCTTTTGTAAGATACCCTGAGGGCAAGGGATCAAAGTTAATATTGGGTAAGTTTTATCCTTTAAGGGGCTTCCCTGGTGGTCTAGTGGCTAAGACTCCATGCTCCCAATGCAGGGAGCCCGGATTTGATCTCTGTTCAGGAAACTAGCAGGAACTAGATCCCATAGGCTGCAGCTAAGACCTGGTGCCGTGGTTAAGAATCCGCCTTGCAGTGCAGAGGATGTGAGTTTGATCCCTGGATGGGCAGCTAAGATCTCACATGCTGGGGAGCAGTGAGCCCACACGCCTCAACTGAGACCCTGTGCAGCCAAATACATATTTTTTTTTAAAGTTTTATCCTTTAGACATTGCTGCCAGGACCAGATCTATACACGATATTCACTTAAGTGCTTTGTGCTAGGGCTGCTATTGGGTGGCAGGTTCCTGCTTTCCCTCCGGCCCCTTGTTCAGAAGGAGGGGAGAGGAGTGAATAATCCAAGCTTTGTCAAGGGCCAGTGTGAGTTCAGAGATGGCCGGACACGTGTTCTCCTCACAGAAAAGCCCTTTGTCTTGGCCCAGAAGGTGGAGCAAGGAGACGGTTGTCTTCAGACCACTTCATCCAGCATTTCCTGAGCACCTACTGTGTACTTGGTGGGGGGTATGCCCAGAAGTCAGGTGTAGCCCCTCCCTGCGGGGGGTTTAGGGTGGGTTAGGACAGACAGGTCACAGTCACCTGTAATTGAGATGGGTCGGTGTGTGGCTGTAAGAAGCTAACTGACAGAAGGTGATGGGAACCTGAGGACAGGGAGGTTCTTTCTAGTTGGGGAATTAGACAGGACTCTCTAGTTGGGGAATTAGACAGGACTTTTGTGGCTGAAGCTCAGATTGGAAGGACAGGTAGTGTTTGGGGAGAGTACTCGGGCCTGGGTGCTCAGTCGCTCAGGGGTGTCCGACTCTCTTGCAACTCCGTGGACTGTAGCCCACCAGGCTCCTCTGTCCCGGGGATTCCCCAGGCGAGAATCCTGGAGCAGGTTGCTGTTTCCTGCTTCAGGGGACCTTCCCGACCCAGAGACTGAGCCCTGGTCTCCTGCATTGGCAGGCAGATTCTTTGCCTTCTGAGCCACCAGGGAAACCCAGGGAGTGAGCAGGGGAAGGAAATGAGTTATCGGTAGAAGCAGCAGCAAGTTGGAAGTACAGAGAGAAGAGTACGGGGTGGCGATGGGTTTGTTTGGTAGGTGATGCCGGGAAGGTAAGTCGGGGCTCGGGTGTGAACAGCCTGGAGTCCCGTGGGGGGGAGTTTGTGTTCTGTTCTCTAGACTGACGGGGGAGACCCTGGAGGTTTTTGCGAGGTTGACATCAGAGCTGTGCTCCCAGGAAGTGCGTTCTGTGGGTAGCAGACAGCTTGACCACAGGGAGCGTGTAGGAGGGGGCGGGCCGTGGGCAGGCAGCCTGGAGGCTCTTGCATTAATCTACATGTGATGCCTGGACTCGTCTCGGTGGCCTTGACTCTGGGTGGACGCAGAGAAGTCGGGAAGGGAGAGAGCGAGAGACATCCTTGCTGGGGAGCTCAGGGACTTGGCCGTCCTTTGATTGTGAAGGCAGCTGAGGAGGTTCAAGCACTTCACAAGTACTGTATTCCTGGGGCTTCCTCTCCTGGGATTGTCAGAGAACTCAGCTTCACCGTCCTGTCTTTTGGGCTGAGGGGGACTGTCCCAGAAATGGTGAGGCTTGGGGGGTGTCTCTTAGGTTTACCCCAGGCTTTTCTCATCTGAGTGGTTTGTTCTTTGGAATCTGTGTGTTGGGGTGGTTTCCATGGCAACCAAATACCTACGGCTACTTGTACTGATGGTGATGCTTCTTGCTGCTCGCTCTGCTTTTAGTGGCCTGCATCCATTAGGATGAGGTTTGACTGAGTGTAACTGAAACCCCAAAATAGCGGCTTAAGTAAGAAAGCCTCCTCTGATGTAGAAGAAATCTGGAGACCATGGCTGGGAACATAGTTCCGTGGAGTCACCAGGTATCTAGAGACTCCTCTTTTGCTCATCACCTTGCCCCAGATGGGAGCGTTTGTCTTTCCTGCCCAAAATAGCTGCTAGAGATCAGGCCATCACGTCTGCCTTCTGGGCAGCAGAATGGCAGGAAGGAGGGAGGTTCCTTGCAGGTCTTGCATGACAGCTCCATTTATAACTCATTGGCCAGAACGTATTGGCAAGACCTGTCTAGCTGCATGGAAGGCTAAGATACAGGGTCTTCACACTGGGATTCTGTTACTGAAGGAGGGAGGACAGTGGAACTTGAGCCTAAAAAAAAAAAAAAAAGAGGCATGTATCCGTCCAGGCAATTAAGGTATCCAGGCACAGTACCGGTCTCAGAATCCGCTGATTTTGGATCACAGGCTGTTGCCATGAGCTGCTTTTTTCCATCTCCTGGTCCTGCTTTGCTGTGCGGCTTCATTTTCTTTTTTCCACTTTTTTTTTTTTTGCAGGGGGGCTGCATGTGGGGTCTTAGTTCCCCAGCCAGGGGTCGAACCCATGCCCTTTGCTTGGCCCCGGGGCCCCCAGGGAGGTCCCTGCGTGGCTGCGCGCTCAGTACCCTGTCCACATCCTCTCGGGCTCAGGCCCAGACGAGCGAGGTCCTCCCCAGTGCTTGGGGCTGAGGTCCACGAGCAGCGAGCTGCTGGCCTGGCTCGGGGTGTGTGTGCGTCCCTGAAGGCGGGGATGGCGCGCGTTCACTGGCAGCGCGGGCACTTTGGCGCGTGTTCACTGGCAGCGCGGGCACTCCCCTCGTCCAGCGACCGCAGGGCCGCCTCACCGGCTCTCCCCTTACCTTGTTTTCCCTTCTGCCTCCCAGCCTTCCTCCGGCCATCCCGCCCAGTGAGGCCAAGTGCCGGCTTTCTGCGTTTCCATTCCGTTTGATAACTTAAGCACCCAAGGAAGAAATGCAAAGAGCCCGTGAAGCTCCGTTTCTGCTCTGCAGGCTGCAGAGAAGCGAGGCCTTGGTGGGCCGGATTAGTCATAGGTATTCTGGTCTCCTGGGAGGAAAGGGCTCCGTTCTTCTCAGTATAAGGGCTCCATTGTTCTAGAAGCAAGAGTTAGCTATCGAGTGAGGTGGCGTTCTGTGGCTAGTCATGTGACCTTCCCGGAATCTCTGTGTAGAGGACTCTTGGCCTCTCATGAGTGGGTACATCCAAGCTGTGGATTTGGAAGAAACTTGGGCCAGATACTGTTTGTTTGCTTTTTTTTAATAGTCCATGCTTCTGCATTTCTTGGTTTCACTATCCTGCACCTGTGTTACTTTGATTTCTTTTTTTTGAATTCCAAAACGTCCTCCCCGCCCCCCCTGCCTTTTTTAATTTATTCATTTTTAGCTGCGTGGATCGTTGTGGCGCGTGGGCTCCTCTCTGGCTGTGGCTGGGGCTTAGTTGCTGTGTGGCATGGGGGATCTGAGTTCTCTGACCAAGAATCGAGCCCGCATCCCGTGCGTTGGAGGCGGATTCTTAACCGCTGAACCACCAGGGACATCCCCCAAAATATCCTTTTAAATTCAGGCATCGACCTTCTTCCTTCCTTGCAGGGGAGTCCCGCCTGCCTGGATGACCATAGTTATGGATATACAGAGCTTCTGCTGAGGGTGGGACGGATGAGGAGAAAGCCCGACCTGGCCTGTCTCGGGCAGGTGTGTGGGCAGCGCACGGGGGTGCTGCCAGGCTGAGGTTTCTATTCGCCTCGTTGTCCCCGACCAGGGTGGTGAGAAACACGGAGCCCAGAGGAGCTGTAATCTCGGGCTGAGCGTCCTTGCTGGCTGCTTTCTCAGGGTCTGGAGAGGCTGTTGGCCTCAGGGTTGGGATGCAGGATGGAGGTAGGACCTCCCTCCCGTTTCCTCCCACCCCGAGGAGTCGGACCTCAGGAGTTCTTTTTTTTTTTTTTCCAGGTAGCTGAGGCCAAGAAGCAAGGCTCTGAGCCGACACAGTGGTAGAGAGAGTGTTGGGACTGGGTCTGGGAGTCGTGAGCCCTGGTTGTGTTTCTAGCTCCTTCCAATCCGCATGATTAGCGGCAAGTCCTGTAACCTCCAGGCAAGCATCTCAGGGCTCCACCGAGACTGAAATCCTTCCCCTTCTTCCAGGATGGGAGGAAGAATCCAGTCACGACCGTGTAATGCTTCTGTGCCCTCCAGAGCCAAGAGAGAGCAAAATACCAGGACGACAAACACTGTAATAGCTTGCCCGTGGAAGCTGATCTTTGCTGTCAGGCTGCCCTGCCTTTTAATCCCCACATCTGACTCTGGCTGGAGGCCAGGAGCTGATTCTTCATGGAATAGAACCATCCCACCCATGGAGGTTCGGCTGCCCTAGAGAATCGTGAAGTTGACAAGCGGTGTGTGTAGGGAGGGTTCATCTTACCTGCCACGGATTTTCTTTTCTCTCCTTTTTCTGCTATAGGAGATTTTTTTTGGGGGAAACCTTTCTGTTTCTGAAACTGTTTCTGGTCTTCTGTGAAGAAATCAACCACGACAGCCCTGGGGCTAAGTGAGTTAGTTCTCCAGGAGGGTGGAAAGAATATGTATCTGTTAAAGGCATAAACAAGGGGAAAATGGATTAGTATTGTATTTAAAGCGGAGGAAGGGGCACAGAGTCATTGCCTGTGCATAAGCTTTAAGTAGATTACCTATTGCAAAATGTGCGGCATTTTGTGATTATGCATAAAAGAACCCGTGGGGAGTGGGGTGACCGTCTGCTAACTTGAGAGAACACTTGCATCTTGTGGGCTCGTGAGCCCCAAATACTATTTTGTGACATTGGTTTATGGCTTCATATTTTTCAAAACCCCTTCCCATCCATTACCTCGTCTGACCCACAGTAGTCCTATAGCTTGTTTTTATTATTTGCATATAATAATGAGGAGTTTTCTCTGTTCCACGCTGGACTCCTTTGTCTGACTTGTGCATGGGATGCTTAAAGTGGGAGGGGAAAAGAAGGGAGCCTCCAGTGGTCTTCCTGATACTTCCGGCCGAACTCGCCCACCCAGGGTGTGCCTGGCACTGTTTTAGGCACTGGGGATAAAACAGTAAGCAAAGCAAACAAAAATTCCCGCCCTCCTAGGACTGCCGTTCTGGCTGAGAGCCACGTGATAAATGCTACAGTGAAACTTAGGGTGTGTCTGACAGAGATACGTGCCATGGACAATAGTAAAGGAAAGGGGGAGAGAAGAGAGTGCCCTGGCTGGGGCAGGGGAGGGGGGTGGCAGGAGTCATGTGTAGTGCGGTTTCAGAAGGAAGAATATGGGAGGAGTCTAAGGAAGTACCCCTAACGTGAGGAAGGCTCTCAATAAAGTTTTCTTGAATCAGTAAACAGATACATAAATGCTCAAATGGATGGATGGATGGGTAATGGATGGGTAGCTGTATGGATAGATGGATGAATGGATGGGTGAGTAATGGATGAATGAATAGACGGATGAATGAATAGGTGGGTGGATGGATGGATAGATGGATGAACAGGTAGGTGGATGGATGGATAGATGGGTAGGTAGGTGAGCAGATAGATGGATGGATATGGATGGATGATGGATGGATGAGTAGATGGGTGGATGGATGAAGAAGGATAAGTCTTTATTCCCCCCTCCCCCATAGATCTGCACTTCCTTTGAGAGCTTTACTGCGCCTGAATATTTTCACACCCCCATTTCACGAATCAGTGTGGGGCACCCTAAGTACGACCTCACCTCATGTAGTCCCTGGAGAGGGGGAGCCCCTTCCTACTGGAGAAAGCTAGCATCCAGACTGGCTCAGAGCAGGAATGTGCTTGGTACTGTGGCGGGTCGAGTTGAAAATAAATTGTTGCCCACTGTTCTGCGGAGTTTGCCTTTCTTTTACCCCACCGTGGCTCTCTCATCATGGACCCAGTTCTGAAAGCCCTAGGGGTTTGCCTCTTCTGTCCCTCCGGGAGCCTGGTCCCTCCCCGATCCTTGCCATCAAAAGTTTGCTCCTTAGGGAAATTTAGCATCTCATTTCTTCCATCATTATCTCTCAGCCCCCTCTAAGCTGGAATTTAGTATCTTTCGACAAGCATCTGTAGCTCCCCTAGATAAGGCAGGAGCTGCTGTTTTACCTGTTGAGACTTGGTCCTTGGTACAGGGTTCTAAACCATGCTTTTGAAATGTGTTAAATGAGCACGTTTGTTTGAGGATTTCTTTGAGGTTGGCTGCCTTTAAGTCCAGCCCAGTTTCTCCAGATATTCCGTGTGCACTGATTTATATCCCTGGAACCTCAGAATGAAATCTCCAAACAGGCAGTGAGAAGTCCTCCCCGTGGAGTCTGTAAGGAAATCGGTCTTTCTGATTCTCCCAATGAAGGAAGAAACTAATTGAATGTAAACTCATTACATCTCTGAAGTACTTTGAAAATTTCCCCACGATTTAATTATGATGAAGTCCTCAGGATGTAGTCATGCCAGGAAATGTCGCAAACCATCAGCCCTGTGGGTTGAGCTCGGGGCAGGGGCTGCTGGGCACCGAGGCGTAGCGCCTTTTCCCTAGCGCACGCACATGCTGGTGTTTCGGTGAGCCCTGGAGTCACTTTGCTTGGGTTTGGTCCTGATTTCTCAACTTATTAGCTGTGTGAGCTTGGGCTAGTTAACTTAGACTTTGTAAGCCTCAGTTTCCTCATCTGTAAAATGGGGCTCGTAGGATGGTCTCCATCACAGGGTTGCTGTGCGGATGAAGTGAGTAAATATATCTGAAGCACTTAGCAGAGTGGTTGGCACATTGCAAATGTCCAGGGCCTGTTGATAACTGTCATGTCATATCAAGGGGAATGGTGGAGGATACATGAGGAATCTGGGATTGATATAAATCAGTGTGGGCTTCCTTGGTAGCTCAGCTGGTAAAGAATTCGCCTGCAATGCAGGCGACCCCAGTTTGATTCCTGGGTCAGGAAGATCTCCTGGAGAAGGGATAGGCTACCCACTCCAGTATTCTTGGGCTTCCCTTGAGGCTCAGGTGGTAAAGAATTCACCTGCAATGTGGGAGACCTGGGTTTGATCCCTGGGTCGGGAAGATTCCTTGGAAGAGGGCATGGCAACCCACTCCACTATTCTGGCCTGAAGAATTCCCATGGACAGAGGAGCCTGGCGGGGTACAGTCCATGGGCTCTCAAAGAGAGGGGCATGACTGAGCGACTAAGCATCCACACATATAAATCAGTGTAATGGGTGTCACAGGTTTTAAAACCGTTAATGTATTTGGCTGTGTTGGTCCTTCCTTGCATCATGCAGGATCTTCTGTTGCCGTGCACACACGCTCTAGTTGTGGGTCACGGACTCAGTGGTTGTGATGCTCAGTCTTAGTTGCTTTGGGGTGTGTGGGATCCCAGTTCCCCGACCAGGGACTGAACCCACATCCCCTGCATTGCAAGGCGGATTCTTAACCCTGGGCCTCCAGGGAAGCCCCGGGTGTGATGGTTGTGGAAGAGTTTCTCCAGTTTCTGTGGTCCTCAGTATTACTACGCATCCCCCTTATTCATCCCTAGGTGATGCCTCTGAGACTGTCTTCTCAGCAGCGTGCTCTTCTTTAGTTTTCTTCGTTCACACATTATTTAAAAGATGGGATCATACCATGCGTAATGTTTAAAAACACGTTCTGTCATGATAAACCCTGAGCCTTTTCTTGTTGTTTTGGGGGTTGCATGGTACTTCATTACACAAACTGGCCATAATATTTGTTTTCATTTTTATTGAGGAATAAGATGGTAAAGGATCTGCCTGCATTGCAGAAGACCCAGGTTTGTTCCCTGGTTCAGGAAGATCCCCTCGGGAAGGGAATGGCAGCCCACTCCACTATTCTTGCCTGGAGGATCCCATGGATGGAGGAGCCTGGTGGGCTATACTGTCCATGGGGTAGCAAAGAGTCAGACACGACTGAGTGACTAACACTTTCAAACCTCACATAACCATATCCTTTACTAATGACTTCTCAGACATTTAAGTGGCGCTCAGTTTTTGGAATCATCATTTATTTTTTTCAGAGTTAACAGTTGCTCTGATTTTGAAAGACAAATGTTAATAAAAGGCTTAGAAAGAAAAAAAAAAGGCAGTTCCCCCCTGCACCAACCCCCTCCCCCCCCCACCATGGCCCCATCCTTTTTTAAGAAGTAACCACTTTTGTCTGTTTCTTGAGAAACCTCCTCCCAGATTTCTAAGGATGTTTAGATACTATATCTGCAATATCTTGATTTGGAAACCAGCGCCCTCTGGTTCTGGTAAATGCTGTTTGATGTTCCTTTAATAGTTTCCCCTCTGGTTCTCTGTTCTCTTTTTATTAGTCTTATTAGTTTGCTATTGGACTTCCTGGACCGAGTGTCTCATTTTCCTCTCTTTTCTTTCTGTTTCTTATAACATCTTTGCTGTTTTATTCTGCATGGTGGGGAGTTTCATTGCCGTTAACTCCATCAAAAGAGCAAAGGTTTCTTCTGTTGCTGTCTTCAGAATTTCCGTTTCTGAAAACAGTTACTTGTCCTCCCTGTTTTTGGTTTGTTCTGTTTTCTCTCTAGCAGCCTGTGCTTGTTCGTGGATTTCGTCAATGCCGTTACGTCTCTCTGATAGTAGTGATGGGTTTTTCTCTTCACAGTCATTGTCTCCCTGAATCCCCGGGTTCCTCCTGAGAGCCTTCATTTCTTCCTGTTTGGTTATTTTCTCCAATGACTTACTCTTATCATAGGAAAGATAGAGACAAATTTTAAGCATGCGCAGCACCAATTATTTATAGAGTCTTTAGGCCAGTTTCTGTGCTAAGCGTTTTACATGCTTTATTGCATATAATCCTTAAAACGTGTTCACCGATAGCTCAAGGGGTAAAGGATCCGCCTTTAATGCAGGAGACTCGGGTTCATTCCCTGGGTCGGGAAGATCCCCTGGAGGAGGAAATGG